TGTTAAACCAATTAGAAGCTATAAATAAATACGTTTTCTTTCGATTCACTGAGTTTGACTGTGCCATTCAACATAAAAAACCGTCACAGCCACTACTCATAGTATGTATACCTATGTATTTTTAAATATCATTATGAGATTTAAGTATACATAGGTGCCCATAATATGGGTAGCGGTATTGACGGTTTTTGTTATGATGAAAATGTTGGTTGGTATGAAGAAGCAACAAAATATATTATCGATTGCAGCAACTATACCTAGTTTACATGCAGTATGTCCAGTTAATATAGAACGTTATATACCTATGCATGATTTTAAATTTTGCTACCATTATATTTTGATAGTTGAGTTTTTGAAATTATTAGTATTATTATTAGTATATCCATTTCTGTCGTACGGTACGCACGCAGTTCAAAATTATTTATTTAAAAATGCCGCGATCTACTCGTAAACGGAAATCGAACAGTGATTATGTGAAGTTAATGACAAAAATTAAGAAGAGGAGCTGGTGGAGAAAAATACAAAAGTAAGTAAATTTGATTAAATAATGAATAAATATATAAACATTCTATGCACTTCATGTGCACCATCGTTCTGAAAAATGTAAACATTATATTAGGAACATAAGAAAGGTTATGCATTTTATGTGCAGCCACTCTTTATAAATTTACTGCATTAGACTAAAGACAAAAATGTTATGCACTTTATGTGCAGCAAGTCTCTGTAAAAGGTAAACCTAGACGTGTTTGCATTAAAAATGTTATGCACTTTTATGTGCAGCAATTCTCTTTAAAAGATAAATCTGGACGTGTTTGCATGAAAATGTTATGCACTTTATTTACAGCAACGCTTTGTACAAAATCAAACACAAACTAGGATAAAAAGAATTATGCACTGTATGTGCAGCCTTTATTATATAAAAAATCAAATATCCCCATAGCCACATAGCTAAAATATTGTAATTGTAAAACAGTTTCCGATGTACGTCATCAATCATATGGACATTGGCACTAAAGTCTATAAACCTGAATAAATAAAATTTTGGCAAAAATGTTTAAATTTGTTGTATAATTTAAGATACGGAGCAGCTCTACATTTTACTTTTTAGAGCAAATGATTGTAACAGATATTTTTATTTAGATTTAGCTGCAAAAATTATTTTAAACCGAATTTTATTATCGCTATGTTGGTCACATTGCGCCGTTTTCAGCAAGGTTGTCGTTTATTATTTGGCAATTATCCTAATGTCAGTCATTATTTTGTATAATATCGTGTTGTTGAATCTTTGTGAGTAATTCTCGTTTATTGCCTATTTTATAGTCTTTTTTTAAAAATTGTACTTTTAAGCACAAACAGTTCTTTTGAGAATTAAATTTTCGAGTTTTTGTATTGCATTTCTTGAAATTGTGTGTTAGAAAATATGCCGAAGCATTTACACAGTAGAAATAGAAAGCTGGTAGTTTCCCTGATAAACTATTTTGAACGAAAACGTGATAATAAAGGTCCTTTATTACCCTTGACTGCAGTTAGAGAAGTAAGTTTGATTGATAAGCACATTACACCACAGTTCAAAGTTATTTGTACGTTAGTTTTTATTAAATTCTGTGATTATTAGTTTGTGCATTAATAGGACCCTCTTGTTATTACTACTTATGGCGTTGTCAGATGGACATCAATAATAGTTATTTACAGTACAAGTGTGTTTATGAACATGATTACAACAACGAGTGTGAACGATTAGAACGACGAGGTCGTAGACCGAGTCGTTCTAATCACACGAGTGTTGCAATCATGTTTAAACGCACGTGTCATGTACAACGTTTTATCTACAACAGAAAAATAAGAAAATGCTATTTTAATTTTTCGTTTATTAGTCGCCCACCTTTAACACCTTTAACTTCATGACATTTGTCACATTTATGCTGAAAAGTCAGTTTGCCCTGTCAAGTAAACGCGAGCACTTTTGCCCAGAAAAATCATTTAAAATTACGATGAGCGATTCCAAAGTCTCCCCTTCAGATGTAGAACTTGCCGCAGTACGTGCCACGGAATCATTATTGCCGGAAAAGTTAATATATTTAGATGTTCGTAGTTGTTTTTCATTATTATAGCAACTAGTTGTGTTATAGATTCATAACACCACTAGTTGTGTTATGAATCTCATAACGTAACTGAAATACTAAAAAAATAGTGATGTAAAAACGTTATAACTAAACGGTTGTAGATAAATAAATAAATAACCCATAATAACGCTTAGAATAATCTCCATAATGGACTAGTTTCTGCCAATATGTAATAAGTAAAATAAGCTAAAAAACAAATAAATTAATTATTAAAACTAAATTAATTACTAAAATATTAGTTATTAAATTAAAAATAAAACGTAAAAATCTTTAAAAAATGATATAATAAATATATTGTTTGTCACTTTTAAATTAAGATTCATCTCATAAATTCATCACACTCAGTGGCAGCGCTATCGCCATCGCTTGTCACTTAAAGTTGATCACGTACATCGGAAACTATTGTTTTGTGACTACCATAAAATATTATGTCACGTCACGCCATATATTATATTATAAAAGTTATTCGCACTAAACAGAGCGGACCTTATCGATTTTCTTGGGAACCTAGTCGGATATTTTTATGTATTAATTTTTTTTGGTTTTTGTTTTTTTTAAACATTCTGGTATGGTTTTTTTAAAACTGCAATTTCTTTTTATGATAGTGGTTCATTTATGTAAAGTAAACATTCCCAGAAAACAATGAATATGAATGTTTTTTGTTATGCACAAATTTGGGGATACTACGATAATATTAAAATTTTCAGGTCAAACGGACAGTGACAGTGACGACAGCGAGGAAACAAACTCTGTGGCTAGCACGAACTCTAGTAGATGCTCTACTCCAACAGGCTTACCTTTAGATCAAAACATAACAATTCCCAGTCCTGTAACTAGTTGTGTTTCTCATCCGTTCCAACATTCAACAATCAACACAGTCAAAATTGAGATTATTCTCGGTGATTTCAAAAAACCACCAAATAGGGGCCAGTCTCTGCCCAGTTGGATCCAACAACGCTGGAAAACATTTCTAAAAGAGGGAGTGGATAAATGTGAAATATATTTTCGAAAATTTAAACACTTTATATGGACCTGAATTAAACCTAAAAATTAAAACGACCATACCGCAGTCAACACTGAAATCCAACACATACATACAAAAAATTCAGGATGAAATCGGCATAGCTTTATGTACAATATCTTAACCGTTAAATAAGCGGTTATTAAATGAGAACGATCACCCCACAAGTCAAATAAAAGTTTTAGCCGATACTGCAAAAATATTATGCAATATACATAGTAAATTGTCCTTACACAGAAGATATGAAATCGTACCAAAGTTAGATTTAAGCATAAAGAAAGGAAACAATTGAATAGGCGCCAATTGGACTAATGTTATTTGGAAATTTTGGAAGTTCAAAAATCGCAAGTCTCTCTAGATACTGTCGAAGCTCTGGGAACCTGTCTAAAGAAGAACAATGATCTTCCGGTCATTAGTGAGATGTACGATATTTTGAGTTATTATACATATATCATTCCAAGTGGAAGAGCTTGTGCAAGAAAGTGGATGACATTCACAGTCTCCATACCAGTTTGTCCAATGAACCAGTTTGTCCAATGAAATTGACGAGTTTTCCCTTTTTCCGCAAATTTACAAGTTTTCTGAGGGTTTGAAGCAGTTACATAATGGATATGGGCCCCAGTACGACACCAACTCAACACTGATTGACTACAGCTTCAGAGCAAAAGCTAAGTACTCATTTACGTTTTGCTTTAGAATCTTTTTGCCCTTTTCTTAACTTTCTACTGAAACTTACCTTATATTGAAACCTATTTTTTGATGAAACTTAACAAACGATTACGTTTGATGATTTATATTTAGTAATATTTAATTTAACTTTCGCTATATCAATATAATATTAATTTATTGTTTTTTTAAATGACTTTTTAATTCACTTTCAAACTGGAGTTATTTAATTATTAATAAATGTACATAGTTTTTTATTAAATTTTGTTGTTTTAATTTGAGATATATCATTACTGAACATCTTTAGCCCGTGGTAATTTTCTTTTTGTTAGCATATCTCTTAAGAAAGGTAGAAAAATACAAGTTAGAGTAAAAATTGATTATCTTTTATTCCAGATGAGTTATTGTAAAAATTCCAAATATGTCCCGAGATATTAGTCTTAGCTATACTCAGAACTTATAATTCTAGTTAAATTTTGTTTTTTAGCAAAATGGCAGCAACACAAATATTACAAAAATTACATTCCTTTGTTTCATACCCTGCATATCATAGAAAACTAAATCTCATACAAAATTTAGAAAAATCAGATCAATCTACGAAAACCGATCTTTAATATGCTAAAAAAGTCAACAAAATTGATCCATTTTTTTCAAAGTTATAACTCGTTGAAAATGAGTAAAAAAAATCGCTGTGGTATTTAATTTGACGGGCAGTTTATTTAGAAACAAGGTGCAAGAACTTCAAATTTTCCAAAGATAATAAAAGTTCGACATATGTTTTATTTTAAAATAAAGAATCTTACAGTTGAGGGTTGGAACCTTTGGTGTTACACAGCAAAATAAAAACACTAAATCACCACAATACACCAAAACACTTTTACTTTTACACTGGACGCGCGTTTCGCTAACCATGTTAGCATCATCAGCAGATGATTATAAACTAAGTAAGTGTAAAAGTAAAAGTGTTTTGGTGTATTGTGGTGATTTAGTGTTTTTATTTTGCTAAAGAATCTCACATCCAAGTTTGATCGGCTAATATACGAATATTATTAATTTATTCACTTAATAAAACGCCGTAGTTGTGTATATCAGTAGATAAAGATAATAGAAGTCGAACATAGGTTTTATTTTAAAATAAAGAATCTCATATCCAAGTTGATCTGCTAATATACAAATTTTATTAATTTATATTAATTTACCCTGAGGAAACCTCTTCTGTTAACCTTCGAGTTAATACCAATGTAAAGGCTCTTGACTTGTTGAAGCATCGATATGATCATTACATAAGATTTCTTGTTTTGATTGTTCCACCAGTACCAGCGGACATTAAACAAAGCCGTATATATTTCTTCAAACTGCAAAAAAAGTGAACAAAATATTATTGCAACATTCAAAGAAATATTAAATATTACAGGGTGTCCAACCGAACCAGAAAGAACCATTTTGAAAATTTGGAAATTTTTTTAGTTTTAAGTTAAAAAACATAATTTCTTGATAATATGGCAACACAGGAAGTAAATTAAATTTACATGAAAGAAAATCTAGAAAAGAACCCGTGGTTCTCAAAATTTAAGCAAAAAAACACTTTTTGTTTAAATTTTCAAAGTAAAATAACTCGGTTATTTTGGACTTAGTTGAAAAATGGTAAAGAGAAAAAATGTTTCTTTTGACCAAGATCTACCACCCCTTAAAATACTTGCACTTATTTCTGGGACACCCTGTATATATTTGTTACTTATTTTTAAGCCTTTACGGCCGGGTTATTTTTTAATAACCGATTATTTTTTTTACACTTTTGTTTATATGATGAAATACCCAGATGTTTACAAAAAATAAATAATCAGTAATAAATCTTAGTAGGTAATATTAGTAATAAATGAAGACATTTGTTATACTAGGGCTGGCATTTCAGGTTTTGGGTATGGATTTTCCTGTGTACGAAGAGTACGGTCAACACGCTTAGCAAAATAAGATGTACTGGATAAAGACAGAAGGCAAGTATTTTCCCAAGCGCATGGAATCTAGCGTTAGATTAAGTGATTATGCAATAAATACTTCGTATATTTGCTCTCTCCGACTTATTAGGCTGCCATAGCAAATCACTTCTATACATATCAACGCCGACCCAAAGTTTCGTTTGCCAGCAGGGTATAAACAGTTTGTTGATCTTTATTTTTTCCTTATTCTGTTTAGGCGAATTAAGAAGTTTCACAGAGAAGAGAAGCTCTCTTCTTTGTGAAACTACTTGTGCAAAAATGCTATGCTCAGAGGCAAGATGTTTTCATCTGCTTTATTGACTATCAGTGAGCCTTTGATAACGTAAAACATGAACCGTTGATACAGAGACTACAGGAGATAGGCGTAGATGGCAAGCACATAAGAATAATTTTAAAGAACTGTATTGGCAGCAATTTGCGGAGATCCGTATTGATGGTGATCGGACAACGGAACACCATCAGTACAACACTCATCTTAACATCAGTGGAGAGAACATCGAACGGGTCACAAATTTCACCTAACTTGGAGCCTCCCTAAACGAAGGGTGGGAATGCGATGAGGAAGTTAAGAGAAGAATCGGCCGTGCAAAAACAACCTTCTTTAAACTTAAGGATTTACTCCTGCATAGAAAAATTCTATATCCAATGTGCCGCTACATACCAGGATACGGGTAATTCAATCTTATGTGTGGTCTGTGATGTTGTATGGTGCTGAGACTTGATCACTTAAGGTAAAAACAATGAACAGAATTCAGGCTTTCGAAATGTGGACACTTCGCCGATTGCTGCGCATACCCTGCACGGAGCATGCAACAAATGATCCATCATTTGTTGTATTTCCTAAGAAGAGCCAGAAGAAACGTCCTAAGAAGAGCCAGAGTAGACAGACAACTAATGGACACCGTAAAACAACGCAAAGTATCGTATCTAGGACATATATTAAGGGGACGTCAATACTCTATACCCAGATTGATACTGCAGGGGAAAAACGAAGGCCGAGGGGGACCGGATCGAAAACAGCATTCTTGGCTTCGCAACATAAGAAACCTAACCAAACCATATTTCGACGAGCCGAAGAGGGCACCCTAGTCATCTTATAGCCATAAAACAGACGAATGATCGCCAACGCGCGCATAAGAATCTTTTCACAGCAATCTCTTGAAAGGCAAGGAGGATCCGGAAGACCTAAAATTAGTCCAGCTGAGGTATTTGTATTGTATTTGACTAAGGCGTGGAGGGTCCCCTATGGGACCCTCCACTGAGGCCGCGAGGGCCTATTGTGGCTCAGTTTCTACAAGCTCTAATTTATAAGAGCGTCAAAGTTCATCCTCAAGACCCAGCCTCTTAATATAGGCCGTTATGTCTGAGGGCGATATGTCTCCTAGGTCTGATAGGTCTAGCATGGGTTTGCCAAACATCTCAAACCTGGTCCTGCTCCCAGCGGGGCAGGTACACATAACGTGCTTCATTGTTTCATCATCTTCCATACAGAGTCGGCATTCGGCGTCTTCCACCAGTCCCGTCCTCTGTAGGTGAGATCTCAACCGGCAGTGGCCCGTGTACACTGCAGTGAGCACACGCGTTCCATTCCTACCGGCCTTTAGGAGTTCTCCCGTTCTATGTTTGGATGGCCCTGCTAGGATTTTCTTGGCATGTTATTATTTGACTAGTTTAATTTGATTAATAAGACTAGATTAATTTAATTTAAAATAAATTTAATCAGATTTTTTTTCGTATATTCTACTACCAGAAAACCAAAATTATATTGTAACTCACTTGTAAACGGAGTTGAAGGAGGATATAGGTATCTATCACAATGCTAAATAGAACTACACTACAATTGGAAGAAAAAGAAAGAGAAAAAAATACCCAAATACCTTGACATACTACTCAACTAGAAAATAAACGAATATAATCTCTTATAAAAACACTGCACAACTACTTATAATCTACACTGAACAAATTATAAAACTTACTAATTAATTAAACAAAAAGAAAAAATAACCAAATTATCCCTTCACCTACTACTTAACTACAAAATAAAATATAAAAACACTACTAAACTCCTAATGCAAACATGGTACTGGTACCATGTTTGCATTAGGACCAGGACCGTTAAATGCGTCGTCCAAACAGTTTTGATGAAATCTCCACACAGGCATCCACAAGGGATCGTCGTCTCTGGCAGGGTTTAAAAAATGGACAGTTCCGTGCCCGGAAAATATTTGATTGCATAAGCGATATGCCCTCCATTCGTCTGAACAAATAAATGTTTCACGATCGATAAACCGTTGCATTGTGGGTAACAATGTATCTGCCGATCGATCCTCGTCGTTCTACTCGTCCCACCAAATACTCAACAATGTCTCCAAGCTTGTATAGCGACCTACATTATATTTCCTTTTCATAATATGCGTTTCGTCAACTTCCACTATTAGCCCGCCGTTACTAACGTGCGGTCTCTGAGACCGGCTGCATTAAAAAAATCCGATAATTCAGCTGACTTCACGAGGAATTTTCTATGCACCTAGGTACCTTCCTAATTTGACGCCAATTATTCATTGTGTGAGCGGCAGCCGTACAACTTAGGTTGTTTGGTATCTATTAGGAATTTTGGTGTGTCAGACCGACGTTAGTAACTGTGTGACTATATTTTGTTGTAGTGCGGGAAGTTCTCTCGCCTTTCTACGTTTATCTAATTAAGAACTAAGATCACTAATGATCGATATTTCGTAATTTGTATATTTAAATAATTATAATTAATAAAAGCTAATAATCCGTTCACGTTTTTTTCTGTCACATTTTTATTACAATTAGTTCTATTTTTTATTTTTCACAATAATAAACATAGCAACTACTTAATAGACGTACAGCGGCGCATCGATTGAGCTAATTTAACCAGCGACTTCAGTCGCTGGTCGCTGGTATAAACTATCCAACGGTCGGCCGGTCACTGACACACATATCGATACGCCCGGTTACGGTCTCGGCCCTAGCGCAAACTGTAATCGGAATCGGATGAAGACGAGCGGTATTTTTATCGGTGAGTTCCGACGGTGACGGTGACTTAAGGCGCTGCTAAAAGTATCCAGCATTAAAAGTTAAAGTCGCTATTAACCTCATCTCTATCCACTATGCCCCAATCTATCCACCAATCCACCACCACTATCCACCACCACCTATCCACCACCACTATCCACCAATCTGACGAAAATTATGCCATGCCACTTTCTTGCCACATCTCTACAATATTTGTACCATGCGAATGCCGTGTCTGTCGCTACTCTTGTTTCAGCAACTGTATATTCTAGTAGTTGTTGATTAGGTTAGGCTATAGTTCCCACAATTCTGTCCGCTCCAATCTTCCTTAGACGAACATTATGTAAAAAGATGTTGTTAGTCGCACTAACCTTGTGGTTTACAGCAGAATCTCCACCCGACGCGCGACGGCAATGCTTCTATCCGAGTGCGCTTTCATGTGCAGATTACATCCCGGATTGCTGCAATCAATTTCCACATTTCTATTTGGTATTGTGGAAAAATGCTTCAAAAGTTTTATGCCCCGATTGTTGGCCTCTCTTCTATGTTTCTCGTTGTCCCCAGGTAATTGTGAAGTTCCCGATAATTAAACGGTTTGTTTAAAAAAAAACGTAAATTTCGCTTTCCATTTTTCGTAAAAAAAACATTTCAATTTCACCACACAGTGCTGCAGTCAATACAGGAATGAAATTGTTTTGAGTTTTAAGATGAAAAAGTTTAAACAAAACAGCTTAAACGAAAAAGTTATGGCTGGTTAAGGTAAGAAAACATAGAAAAGAGACAAGATTGAGGACAGGGTTAAGTTAAAAACACAGAATCTGACAGAATGTTAAAAAGAAGTGTCCAATGCGACTCTGGCAGCTATTTTCCCTTTTTTCACGTCTGTCAGGAGTGTCAATTGTGCTCAACTAATCGTTTACGTTGATTCTGTGCCGTAGTTACATTCGCGTACGATTTTATTACGTAAAAAATATTGATTACCTTTACGTATACGTGTCGCAGCGGCCGTAGGCCGTTGTTTTCTATTATGTATATTTTCTTTTACTTATCATCCGGTGGTTACCATCCGGTGATACCGTATGATCGAAAAAAAAACGGCGTCCAATTGGCTTGGAAATGACGATCGATGACATTCCCCATATAATTTTACATATAAAATGACAGCGATGTTCATTTCATAGCCATCGCTGACGCCGTTATTTTTTCGATCATACGGTATAAAATATATGAACGATGTATTATTATTCCTTAGTCAGTTACAACTTCGCTATGGTATTACTACGAGGGGCAAACCGCTGGTGGTATTTTCTCTACAAGCACTTGGTAATACTGGTATTTTATTGGTACTAATTTGGTATTTTTGGTACCAATTTGGTATTTTTGGTACTAATTTGGTATTATTTGGCAATAAACGGGATTTATTTGGTATTAAACTGGTATTAAACAGGTATTTTGTTTAATTTTGTACGTCTGGCAACGCTGGATTAGACGCACGTGGCGACAACGACGGCCGGGAAGCTGATTGCATAATTTCTAGCCCATTTGCATCTAAAGATAATACTGAAAAATATCTATATTTCTAGCCCCAAGTACATCTAAAGCTAATACTGAAAAATATCTGGAATCTAAAGGTGCTTTGACAAAATCGTTTAGTTTTGGAAGTCTTTCAGAATATACCACTCTACATGTTTTGGAAACTGATTATACCCAAGAAAATAATATAGTTTCTAAAATATTAAAGCAATGGTTAAAGTCAAAAATTGGTGATGAACTCTGGAGCACTCTAAACTGCAATAGTCTGTTTAATAACATTATTTTTAGCACATCAATTTTACCTCCAAATTCTACTGCAAACTTCGAGGCAAACTCGATTTCGGGATCGACTTTAATATGCAAAATAACCTGCTTTTGTAAAGTAACTTTACAAATAAAATATGATCCTTCTGCAAAAACCACAAAAACGAGAGTTACAAAGGCACGCTGGGTAAGCTCAAATTTTCAAACACACTTGATAAAGCATTTTGATATAACAAATACATTATTTATACCAAAAATTAGTAATAATCGAAGTGTTAAATCCGAGGTTAAATCAGAGGTAAGCAATAATTCTTCAAATAAGGAAGGCACAACCAAATAACAACCTTCTAAGGCACAACCAAATAACAAAATCACAAACCTGATAGCAAAATTGTACCCCCTAATCTAATATGTGAAGCTCCCTGTAATCAAAGAAATCCTATTGTAAAAATACTAGACTGCGTAATTATCCCCCCAACTAAACGAGCCTCGGAACTACCCTTATCAGCCGCCACTTTAGCCATACCATCCACACGCAATAATAATTATCTCCCCGATGTTACCCCTTTACTACCATTATCAGCTGCCGCTTCAAGCTTACCGTCAACAAGCAATAATTCAATTTGGAAGTTTACAAAATACAGCCGCTCGCAAAAGAATAAAAGATAAAATTGAAAAGTTTCAGTATAATCAACCTCTTATAACCAACTTTATTTCGATATTAGAGAAAATAAATTCTACTCTTAAGGAAAATGGACAAATTTCGAAAGATTTTAAGAAAACGATGATGGTTTGTCTAAATGAACCCGAGAATGAACCTGATGAGAATAAGCCAGAATCGAGGCCAGAATCAATGCCAGCAAACAAATTTTTAAACATGTCGCTTAAGCCAGACTTTGGTACTAATTTGGTATTTTTGGTTCTAGTTTGTTTTTTTTAAAGAATTTGGTATTTTTGGTATTTTTTCCCCAAAATTGGTATTTTTTGTACACCATTTTTGGCAGCGGTTTGCCCCTCGTATTACTAATTGGGTTAGTTTTAATGACAATTATCTAAACAATAATGGAGCTAAACTATCGAGTAATAATTTTAATTATTAAAAGATGAATAAAAGAAATACAAATAGGGGGACAAAGACAGAGTAAGCAAAGAATTTCTAATCTCAGTTATTATCATTTTGGATTTGATTATTGATCGGAAATGTATTCCACTGATAATAAATTAAGTCAATAATTTCGATAAATTGTAAATGTTTGCTTCCCCTTATTTAAAAAAAATTTATATAAAGATGATTCTTTGCTTACTCTGTAATTTTTATATGTATCCTTATTCTAAATTCGTTAACAGTTGTTAGCATATAAATATCTCATGTTTTACAAATGACGCTTGTTTTGTTAGTTTCATTTATTCTTCATATGCAAATATCCACTTAATTAGTTTTACCTGATCCTCTATTCCTTGTCCTGCATTAAATATCTCAAAAGCCATTACGAATAAGCCCAATGGAAATAGAAACGTAATTCCACCCAGCTGAAAATAAATAAAATTAAGCATGGGATAATACACTACGCTTAACATAATAAAATAATAAACTTAACATAATAAAATAAATCAACTGAATTAATAATTGGTATTATACAAAAAAAAACAGAAGAAAGTCGCTTTCTTTAGTTTTTGAATATGGCATCTAATTATGAATTATCACTTTCAAGGATTTAACTAATTCAAAAACTAAATTAAAATTAACGAAACTTGATTCTTTTTTACATCGAACTATAAGGAAATATACATTTTAATAACGATAACGTCGATATTTTCATATCTAACATAGGTAATAAAAAACAAATCGAAAACGTAAATAAAACAATTGTTACCTGTAACTGTGTGATTAAAACAAGGTAATAACAAAATAGTGGATAATACACAATAAAATTATTATTTCTTTGTCAATCGAGAGCACAATCTATTTTAGTTTTTAAACATATTATAATAAACATCTTAAACAACTTTACAATTATATACAAGGTGGCCCATCGAAAACGTTCCGCAAGGCATAACGGCCAGGGTACTTTTTTTCAGAAAATTCAAAAACACGTCAATTTTGTTTGTGAGGGGGGCAACTTTTGCCCCAAAATGATTGCAAAATCTTCAACCCTCTAAGCGGGGGTGTCATCCCTCAATTTTTTTCAAATAGGAAGGAGGGTCAAGTGGTACCGCAATGAAAAGGGCTTTCTATTCTCTATACTTTCCTACTTCGTTTTTGAAGATCGGTCGAGTCGTTGAGAAAATATGAAGGATTGAAATTTGAAAAGTTTATTTAAACATTTATCAGAGTAAATGATAAGGATAAATTCCTTCGATCAATTTGCTGTTTTTTCTTATTATTTCTAGATGTTTGCAATCGGGTTGCGCAGATATTCAATGAACGCCATCCTGACAAACACCTTTATGGCAAAATTGTTCGCCAGTTAGTAGCAAAATTTCGCGAAACTGGGTCCGTTATGAATAAAAAGACGCAGAGGGAAAATCCTGTAGTAAATGAAGCTATGAAGGTATTCCTATTAGGCCAAGTTGCCATGGACAGTATCCTGAGTACAAGAAAAATAGCCAATGAGACCGGCGTGAATCGTACAAGTGTGCAAAGGATATTAAAAAAGCACAAGTTCCACCCGTACAAAATTCAGTTGGTACAAGAACTCAACGAAGAGGATTTTGATCGTCGCTTGCAATTTTGTGAAACTATGAGTGAACGAGTGGCGAATGATAATAATTTCCTATTTAATGTGTGTTTTTCGGACGAGTGTACTTTCTTTTTGAACGGTGTAGTTAATCGGCACAACTGTCGGTACTGGGCTGAGGACAACCCCAGGGTTATTCACGAGGTGCACACACAAAACCCTCAGAAATTGAACGTGTGGGCTGGAATTTTTGGAAATTCTATTGTGGGTCAGTTTAACGATATTGAGAAGAACTTCAACGCACAAGTCACAGAACAGCTATTTAGCAACTACCGCACCTGTCGTTCAACGTTGCGGCAAGTGAAAAAATGCGTAAACATCGAAAAGAAAAAACAGCAAATATTGGTCGAAGGAATTTATCCTTAATTATCATTTACTCTGATAAATGTTTAAACAAACTTTTCTTTCGAAAAAAAATTTCAATCCTTCATATTTTCTCAATGACTCGAACGATTTTCAAAAACGAAGCGGGGAAATATAGAGAATAGAAAGCTCTTTTTATTGCGGCGCCACTTGACCCCCCCTTCCCATTTGAAAAAAGTTGGGGGATGACACCCCTGCTTAGAGGGTTGAAGATTTTGCAATCATTTTTGGGGCAAAAGTTGTCCCCCTCACAAACAAAATTGACGTGTTTTTGAATTTTTTGAAAAAATGAATACCCTGCCCGTTATGCCTTGCGGAACGTTTTCGATAGGCCACCCTGTATTACAAAGTACAACTTAACAAGTATAGCTAGAGACGTGAGAAATATAAAATAACACGCGACCGGTGCTATCCCCAAGTCTCTTCCTATATTTGTACAACTGTAAGTATTGTTATCAAGCGTCCAAACGAAGAGATATGGAGACTAGATAATGAAGCAAATGTATTGATTATAATATTACACATCGCCAATTAAATTTTTGAATGTTAAACTAGACGTAATAAGGGTAGATACTTGTAAAATGAAAGCACTCTACATAGTGAATCTTATTTTGTATCTTCTTCTCAGAGTGCCGTCTTCATTGTTCATTGAAGGTTGGCAACAATCTCGGCGAACTTCTTACGATCTTGGGCAGCTCGAATTAACGAGTGTAACCTAACCTAACCTAACCATGAATGTTTCTTTCTACCTATGCCCCGCTTGCCCTCAATTTTTCCCTCCATTATCAATTTTAACAGCTCATATCTACTTCCACGCATTATATGACCCAGATAGACTGTCTTACGTTTCTTATGTATAATATTATGTATAATCCTAATATAAATAAAGCCGACAAACTTACTTCTTCAAATGTATGCATAAATTTAATAAAGAATGGAACTGTCGATAAACCAACAACCATTAAAGTACCACCAACATATCGGCTAGCGTTATCATCGCAAAGTAGTCCAATGTAACTGAAAAAATGAAGATAATGCTGAATTAAATTAGATATATTTCTAATGATCAAAATATTATATATTTTATAATTTTTATGTGATTTTTCAAAAAATTCCGACCGCAGCGCTCGAACGGCAGAAATCAGAAATTTTCGCTCTGTATTTCACGCCATCCCGGTTGCAGTTTATGTCGATTTCAATATTACCTTAAAATAATATTGAAATCGTGGCTTTGTGATAATATTTAAGTTTTTATTATAAGTTTTTTTTTATTTATATTTTAGTCTTTTGCTAGTACAGTTATTGAAACAGTTATTGAAACTATAAAACTTTTTTTTTTGTTTTTTGTAATGTTGGTTTGTGTAATGTAACGCTTTTTCGGATAGTAAATTTTGAAAAAAAACTTGCATTGGGCGTCGTGTTGTATTGTGACAATTTCAAATATTAATAAAATTGCCGAAAAAATATTAACGCGTAAAGGAGCATGTAATTACGTGGTTGCTGGGTGCAAATATTCAATAACTGAATTTTCCCGGATATTCAACTCTCAAAATTCAATATTTTATGCTTCACAGCTTCTCAGACCGATTTGATCAAAAGCAAAAATGAATTCAAGCAGTTCGACGAAACAAGTGAGTAAACAAAGTGCCCATTACATAATCAAAAAATTAAATAGACATATACTAAGAGAGGATTAAATATTGTAAACATTTGTTTTATTTTTTGCTTAATAATATGAACATCTATCAATCACTCTTAAGGCGCACTACTTGACAAGTATCCCCACCAGTCTGCACTTTGTAAACAGCATCGGCAAGTGTGGCGCTCACACGACGCGTCCATTTCAGCAAGTACGCCAGCACAAACATTGTTTAAATCCTTGGAAAGTAAACAGTATAGTCGCATCGATGGATACCAGTCGTCCCGAAATTGTCGTTTTTTGAAATTCTTTTTCTTTTTAAGTTTTTTTACTGTACACTGCAATACGATTTCTATATTCTTTATGTTTGGCCATCCATTTTCGTATAAATCAATAAATTCCAAAACAACATCATTTGAAGACTACACGGGAAAACCCGGTTTTGTTCATTTTAATTGGAGCCGAGAAAAATGCAATTTAGTGTTTTTAAAGAAATATGTTATTTTCGGTTAAATAATTAGAAAAATATATATTACTACCAATTCTCAATTATTAATATTGTGAATTATCGCCATATTCTGAAATACTGAGAGTCAAAATGATACTAATAAATAATGCTGCTATGATGTCCGAAAGACGATTTCACATTCTTTTACGGGCTATAAGGTTTGACGACAGTGACACCAGAGAAGAAAGAAGAGACATTAACAATTTGACTCCAATACGTGAATTATTTGAACATATCAATCAGCGGTGTTCTGATGCGTGTTATACTGTGGGAATTGCTACAACAATCGATGAGATGTTAGAGAGATTTCGAGGCAGGTGCAAATTCAGATAATATATCGCCAATAAACCGGCCAAATATGGCATCAAAATTTATTCTTTGGTAGATGCAAAAACTTTCTATACATACAATATGGAAATTTATGCTGGTAAACAGCCAAGGACCCTATAATATACCAAATGATGCTATCAGTGTTGTGAAGCGTCTTATTGTCCCAACAAGCAAATGGACAATGTAAGCTGGACGGAATGTTACGATGGACAATTATTTCACCTCTGTACCCTTAGTGATCGAGTTATATACCAATCATAAGTTGACAGTTGTTGGAATCCTGCGGAAAAACAAACCCCACAGACCAGCAGATCTACTTTCTGTGAAAAATCGACCAGTTTGCAGTAGTGTCTTTGCTTATGGACAAGGAGACAATAATGTGTGTTAGTTTAGTATGTTCCAAAGAAGAATAAAAACGTTCTCGTACTCACCTCTTACCATGACGACGACTCAATAGATCCAGAACCGAAGGATACCTTCAAACCAGAAATTATTACCTTTTACAATAAAACTAGGGTGGAGTTGACGTAGTAGATAGGATGAAGTCGGAATATTCTGTCACCAGAAAAAGTAACAGTCTTTTGCACATTGCTTGCAACACAATCTTTTGCACATTGTTAAATGTTACCACCATCAATTCGCAGATAATCTATGCAGCATATACACAAATCATGCTAAGAAGTAGACAATACATTATCGATTTAGCCAAGCACCGAACAGCAGCTCACGTACAAAAAAGAGCTTCGATTTCAACACTGAGCATTGCATTACGTCAAAAATATCCAATGTCTGTGGTCATAAAAACGTAAATCCGACAAAAAAACACGAAAATGACCAACCTAAACCACGATGCGAATATTGTCCTCTGTTTATCCTCTGCGATATTGTCCTTTGTGATTAGCAGGTTTACCAATATAGTTGCGCTAACTGTTCGAGTCCAATCTGCAAGGAACATAGTGCTTCCACAATCTTTTCCAAAAGCATTTTTTTAATTGTCAATTGACAAATGCAAAAAGGAAACCCCAAGGAAGGAAGTATTCTCTTGAGGACAAAATGGATGCTCTTATTCTTTGGAAGTCCAGCCCTGCAACCTATAAAATGTTAATCCGATTAGGGTTTAGTCTCCCCTCCTCATCGACATTGAAGGGTTACAAAAGGGATACAAAATTCCTTTAAATGCTGGTTTATCTCATTCAGTATTCCAGTCAATGGGAAAGATAGCTGATAAAATGCGACCAAAAGACAGGTATTCAGTTTTACTTTTTGATGAAATGGTTCTCCAACCTCATTTAGACTATGACGAAAAAAACGATCGTGTTTTTGGCTTTGATGAAGCAAAAAATGTTGCAGATCATGCAACAGTTTTTATGCTGCGAGGGATTTTTAAAACATGGAAACAACCTGTTGCATATATGTTTCATAAAGGGCCTATGCCTTCAGAGACAATTGTGAAGTTTTTAAAAGAGGTAATTCATAAATGTGAAAATATTAATTTACACCAGGGTGCAAATAATGTAAAAGCTGTCAACATCTTAAAGGAGTCGACTAAAAGGCAATATATTTTAAAGGGTCAGGAATATACAGATGCCGCGTCCTTTTCTAATTCGAAGTTCAATAAAACACAAGTTTACTTAATCGGTAATGAGTTGCATAGAGGCCACTAGCTTTTTAATTTTAACAGCCGGGTGGTCGGGTTCAAAGATATTAATAAAAGGGCGCCACGATAAATCCGAAAAGAAAAAACAGCTAATAATGAAAATAACAAATTGAAAAAGGCAAAAACGATATCTAGTAAGCAGCAAACTACTTTGCAAAAATTTATGGCAGGTCAGCAAGGTCCAAAAATAATAAGCAAGACCGAGTTCGAAAACAGATTGATCAAATTCGTAATCAACACTATGAGCCCTTTATCAATAGTTGAAAATCCCAGTTTTAAGCAGTTATTTGATGGATTTAATCTAGAAATTGTTAGTAGAAACACTTTGACTCGACGCATCTCGGAACTATTTGAAGAAAGACAAGCAAAATTAAAATCCGATTTATTAAAGGTCCAATATGTTTGTACAACGGCTGACATTTGATCAAGAAAAAAAAAGAAGTTTTATTGGAGTTACCTGCCATTGGATAAATGAAGTTTAGCCGTCAGTCAGTGACTCTGGCCAGTCGGCGATTTAAAGGTACTCATTTTTACGAGGCTGGGCTGAAAAATAATCGGCCTAGGTAGGAAAACACAACTTTTTTCGGCAAAACTCAATTTACTTCTCAACGTAGTCCCCGTTAAGCTCTATACACTTTGTCCAACGATTCTCCAATTTTTCGATGCCCTTCCAAGTCCTTAAAATAGGCCTCTGTCGCAGCCATTTTTTAAAATCTGGAAACAGATAATAGTCACTGGGTGCCAAATCTGGGGAGTATGGCGGATGAGGAACCAATTCGTAACGCAATTCATACAGTTTTGCCATTGCGACTGCACATTTATGCGCCGGTGCGTTGTCCTGGTGGAAGAGCACTTTCTTCTTCCCTAAATGCGGTCAATTTTGCTTCAAATCGGCGTCGAATCGGTCCAACAGCTTTGAGCAATATTCGCCGGTGATTGTTTTGCCCTTTTCAAGGTAATCGATATGAATAATAGCATGCGCATCCCAAAAAACTGTGGCCATGACCTTATTGGCAGACAGATCCACCTTGACTCTCTTTGGCTTTGACTCACCTTGAGAAACACACTGTTTTGACTGTTCCTTCGTCTCTGGCGTATTGTGATGGATCCAAGTTTCATCCACGGTTACAAAACGACGCAAAAAGTCCTTCTTATTGTGGTTAAATATTGCCAAACACTCCTTTGAAGTTGTCACACGGTTTGGCTTGTTGTCGGTATTGAGCAAATGCGGTACCTATCTGGCAGCGAGTTTCCTCATTCCCAAATATTCGTGCAATATATTCTCCACTCATTCACGTGACATGCCCACAGTCTCAGCAATCTCTCACACTCTTACCCGTCGATCGTCAATTACTATACCATGGATTTTATCGACCACTTCTGGTGTGGTGACCTCTCTTGGACGGCGTGGACGCTCATCATCAAAAATTATCGTACGACCGCGTTTAAATTCGGCAGTCCAATATTTTATTGTTGATAACGAAGGTGCAGAGTCCCCATACACATCATCCAGTTCGATTTTGATCTCATCGTTCGTTTTCTTTTTTAAAAACGAGAATCTAATCACTGCGCGATATTCGATTTTATTCATTTTTGTAAAAATGCAAAATCTGTTTGCCTTCAATCACTGTCAAATACATACTAAGTGACGCAGCTCGCTGAAAATTTGACAGAAGTCATTTGAAAGATAGTTTTTACGAAAAACAATTGCATTTGTTCCTAGCGCCGCCAACTCTTGCCGAGGCCGATTATTTCTCAGCCTCGTATGATCGAATTGCTAGTATTTTACAAGATATACATATGAGATACGGATTAGACACAAATAAAATCATTGCAACTGTCACTGATAACGGTTCGAATTTTGTAAAGTCCTTTAAAGCATTTGGAGTAACACTACCTGGTTTATCTAATAAGCAGGATACATTTCTTGGTATTACCGAAGCTGAAGAAAATACCAGCGATGGAGACGATTTTTGGTGATGATGAGGCTGAAGAAATAACATTTGAAATTATTGGGGATGACGGAGAAGTTATTGATAAACAACATAGGCTACCTAACCATTACTAGGCCACAGACTAGTTTTGAGTTTACAGAGGTTACTAACAATAAGATTAGAGACATTATAAATTGCTTAAAAAACAAAATTAGTCGGGACTTTGGTGGCATGAACATTAGACTATTAAAATCAATAAAAAACATTATAATATCTCCGCTAACTAAATTAATAAACATGTGTTTTCGAGAAAATATTTTTCCATCCGTTTTAAAAAAAGGTACAATTATTCCAATCTACAAGAAAGGAGATAAGAGTCTGCCATTCAACTACAGACCTATCTCTATCTTACCTATCATTTCTAAAATTCTTGAGCGTTGTATGGTAAATAGAATCGTAAACTTTTTTGAGAACCAGAATCTTTTTAATGAATTCCAATTCGGGTTTAGAAAGAACAGAAACACAGCCCAGGCAGTCTCGGCTCTAGTCTCGGATATCTTAGAGACCTTCAATTGCAAGAAATTCGATGCAGTGTTGTTCTGTGACCTGAGCAAGGCATTCGACTGTGTGGACCATGGTATCCTCCTTAAAAAGATCATAGCATATAAGTTTTCGCCAAAGAATGTGGAACTGCTGAGGTCTTACTTAGAAAATAGATGTCAAAAGGTAAGGGTGGAGGGTGTGGTGTCTGGGGAGACTGTTGTAAACATTAGGGTTCCTCAGGGCTCCATACTCGGTCCGGTTCTCTTCCTAATTTATATAAATAATTTACCAGCAAGTGAGGCTTCAGCAGGTTTTACTTTGTTCGCAGACGACACTACAATTGCCTGTAAGGGCGAAACACTCGAAGAATCTTTGGAGGGTTTCGGGAGAGCGCGGTCGAGAGCTAGTGATTGGTTTCATGCGAACAAATTAGTGTTAAATACAGAAAAAACCAAGCAAGTAGTATTCTCTATGAGAAACACTCACGTTTCCAGGGAACAGGTAAAATTCTTCGGGGTTTATCTGGATCCGAGGCTTCAATGGGGCGGGCACGTTGACGCGGTTTGTGGGAGACTGGGCAGCGGCCTATACCTTCTGCGAAATTTAGCTAACAATGTGTCGCAAAACACAATGAAACTCGCTTACTTCGCCTTTATCCATAGTCATATTTCATATGCCATCCAAGTATGGGGTCACTCAGCTGAAACCCATAGGGTTTTTAGATTACAGAGAAGGGCTGTAAAGTTGCTGGCCGGTCTTGGGTACAGAGAGGATTGTCGGAGCGCTTCCCGGGTCCTGGGAATACTGACATTGCCATCTCTTTATATTTATCGCAACCTACTAGATTTAAGGAATAAACTAGACTCATGCACAACTCACAGCAAAGTTCATGACTATAATACACGAAACAAAAATAACATTGTAACAGAATACTGGCGTCTAAGAAGGTGTCAGGATGGTCCGGGGTATTGGTCTATCAAATTCTATAACAAACTGCCTGAATGTTTCAAAAATTTATCAAACAAGGATTTTAAAATTAAATTGAGGACATTTTTAACTGAAAATGCGTTCTACTTGCAAGACGGGTATCTTTCTTTCAGTTTCTCTAGCTATGTTATCTTTTAATGTGTTTGTGCTTTGAGAATGTTAATGTGTAAATGTAATGGTCTATATTTATTATATATGTATAACATATTTACCTCATTTTACTTTTTTACTTTGTAATTTGTATCTTGGAAGGCTTGATAACATTGACGATAAACCTTAATGGTAATTCACATGAATAAAGAATTTTGAATTTGAATTTACGCTATGCAAGTCATACTATTAATTTAATTTGCACTACTGATTGCAGCAAAGCCATTAATGGCAACGCTGGTTTAAAATTAAGACACTCTCAAGCCATAACCAAATGCAATATATTAGAAGAAAGCAGCTTTTCCAAAATCCTCAGAGGTTATTTTAGAAATTCTAGGGCGTACATTTTCTTTTCCGGGAGCCACACGTTGAAATGAGAGGTTAGCCATCCAAACTTGTGTAAATAAATTGCTTTCAGAAGAAGATATTAGTATAGTAAGTATTGTTTATTTATTAGTATAGTTTTTTGCAGCATCGATAGGCGGAAAGCCAGTTCCAGGTGCACCACGTACGAAGTGATACTACAAAATATCATCTGGCAGTGGCCACTCTAGACCACGATACCATTCAGACGTCTCTGACATAATCAGAACCCCACCACTTGTTGACAAATACACAGCCCTCAAAGGAGCAATCCTAGCTCGTCTAACTGACTCTCCCGACGCGCAACTCCACAAGCTCCTCACTGGCGTGGAGCTTGGCGACAAAAAACCATCACAACTACTCCGCCACATGCGTTCCTTGGCCGGAACCCGTGTCAGTGACGACATGCTGAGAGTAAAATGGCTCGACCTCCTGCCACAGCCCACCCGCCGCATGTTACTCTTGATAAAAGGACAAACATTGGAGGAACTCGCTGCAGTGGCTGACGAAGCTCACGACATGAGACCTTTCATCATGGCCGCATCCCCCGGAACAACAATCCGTCTACAACGGCATCAAGCAACCCAGTGCCAGATCAAACAAAAGACAGGATCGCCCAATTTCACTTTTCAATTCAATTTTACGTTTTTATTGTTCTGATCAGTATATTTCCAATATTTTTATTGGACCAAAAAGCAATGGCTCTAACCGGTTAATATTAAAATTAAAAAATGTTAATAAACACATAAAATGCGGGCATTTTAAAATGGAAGATAATCGTACTGTGGCAAAACTTTTAAAAAGAAATTGGTTCATGTGTAAAATAGACTTGCGAGATGCTTATTTTTTAATATCAATAGAGAAAGAATATAAAAAATATTTAAGATTTTATTTTGATGGAAATATTTATGAATATAATTGCATGCCATTAGGTCTTAACATTGCCCCATTGGTCTTTACAAAGTTAATGAAACCAGTAATTAGTTCCTTGCGAAAGAAAGGTTTATTTTCAGTTATTTATTTAGATGATATTCTTTTATTTGGTAGCATTTACTCTGAATGTTTAATAAATGTTCAAGTTACATTAGATCTGCTAATTTCATTGGGTTTCCTGCCAATCTACGAGAAGAGCAATTTCGTACCTTCTCAACGTATTGAGTATATTGGGTTTGTTTATGATTCGATTGAAATGTCTGTTGGTTTACCAGCTAAAAAAATTAATAAAACATTAAATTTGGTAAAAAAAATTTCCTTAAAGGAAAATTGCTTCCTTAAAGAGAGTTTGCTATGTTATTGGGAAAAGTAACTTCCGTTTGTCTTGACGTCAAATATGGCTGACTAAATTATTTGAACGTGAAAAATTTTTAGCATTACGTCAGTCAAATGAAAATTTTGATGCAAAAATTAAGTTGCCATCGCTACTGTTAAATTATTTTCAGTGGTGGATCAATAGCTTGCCCCATGCAAAATTTTTTATTTGAGTCGATTCCTTTGAGCTGGAATTTTTTTCCGATGCATCTCAAACCGGTTGGGGCATAAGCTGTTCTGGTAAAAAATCTCACGGATTTTGGTCAGAAATTGAAAAACAACATCATATAAATTATTTGGAGCTATTAAGCTGTATGTATTGGTTTAAAATGTTTTGCCGAAAAATTATCTAATTGTAACATTTTACGTCGCGTGGATAACACGACGGCTTTGGCATACATTAATAAAATGGGCAGCGTACAATTTCCTAAACTTAACAGCCATTCGCCGACTATTTGGCGGTGGTGTGAAGAACGCAGTTTGTTTCTTTATGCTTCATACATAAAATCAAGAGACAACA